GGGGGGGGGGGGGGGGGGGTGAAGGGTACGCGCGATCCTCTCCTCATCGCAGCCTTTGTAGCACATGGCATTGAGCGGCTGGTTTTCATCCTCATGACATAAGTAAAAACAGTATTTCCCAACACCTCCAATAAATTTTTCTTATGTGGCAGAATTACTGAAGGCTATGAAATTTTTGGTTTCTCTGGTTTCATTAAAAACCTTTTAATTGTGTCTTTCAGAGTTGGCCCCAGGTGTTGGACTCTTTTCATTACATTTTGCTCTAATGTGATGAAATTCTAATTCTCTCCTTACCATATGGTTAAATTTCCCCACTGAGAATTAGTTGAAAAAGGAGAAATAATCTATTAATCTCTGTAATAGATTCACAAATGAGGTTCGCCACAGAACCTGTTTTTGAATGGTAATATCTGAACAGTTGGGCGCCTTATTTCATAAAGAAAGGGTGAGGACTATACCGAAACGTCTCCATTTTCACCTGGAGAGGATGAAAAGGGTCCCAGCAGCATCTTCCCAAAGTAATTGCCTGAGAGTCAGGCTCCCAGGGACAGAAACACTACTCATTCGTCGGTTACCTACGCGCCTTCGGATTTACTGGAACCCAGTGGTTGAGAAGGCGCGACCGACTGCGGGAGGCTTTCCTGCCTGGTGCCCACGCTGGCGGGCCGGAAGGGTTGAGCCCGCCACAGTCTCGCGGAGGACCCAAAGGCACCTTTACTTTCAAGCAGCCGCTGGCTCACCGGACTCCTCCCTCCCTCTCTCTCTCTCTCTCTCTCTCTCTCTCTTTCTGTCTCTCTCTCTCTCTCTCTCTCTCTCTCTCTCTCTCTCTCCCTCCCTCCTCCTTCCCCAGCCCTCGCAGCTGTTAACCTCTCCCTTTAGGATGGTAAAGACACGCTCCTGTTATTGTTTTTCAATTAGCAGCTTTGTTTTCAGTGGGATCATAAACAAAGGTTATTTATAAACAAAGGTGGGTTGAGTGTGCCTAATACTAACTTATCAAAGTCCTCATACCATTTACAGAGAGGACCAAGGATGACACCATTCTGGTTCTCTCCATTCGTCCCCGAATGCTTGACTCTGTTTTGCACCCCGACTTTCTCGTGGGCTGGCACTTTCCGCTAGGTACCTGACTGCTGTGGGCCACCGAGTGGGCACCGTGCCCGGGCAGGGTGGAAGCGTGGGCTTAGCTGCAGGCGCCCAGTGGGGCCGTGCCCTGCAGGGCCAGAAAGGCAAAGCCCAGGCGACCCTCGAGGGCTGAAACGCGCCGCCTGTCGGGGCTGGACTCTAGAATCTCAGATAATTAGTGCTTTCTTGGTCCTTCCTAGACCCCATCTCCACGTTGTACTCCTGCCCCCTCCACTTCTCCCCCGCTATCCAAACATCTGGAACAAACTTTGGTGTAACTTTTTCTTTTCAGGTTCAAGCAAATCCCCCGCCTTTTTAGCCTCCTTGGAGGAGGTGGCTGCTTAACAGTCGTTGGAAACTTTGCGTTGGGAAATGGCCGAAGAATTTATAGAAGCCTTTAACGCGGGCCTTCTAACAACACTCGGCGAATGGTCTTTGAGGTTTATGCACTCGTAAACTTTTGCTGATTGCTTCTGCGAAGTTGTCAGGCACTTAATACTGCATTTCTCTTACAGGGCAATGAAAACACATCTGCCTGGTGTCTCAGTTACCTGGTTTAATCGTCGTCAACACTAAGTTGTGGCCTCAGCTTGCTCTCTTCACTAAGTGGGACCCCGCCGCCTTATTTCGAGCAGCGCGGGAGGGTGGCGTCAGCTGCTCATACAGTGCCCCTTGGAGACCAGAGTAACGGAAAGCAGTGCTCTGGCACTTAGTTCCTCCAACAAGAGGGGAAAGGGCTTAGTCGTCTGGAATAAGTGGCAAGTTGGACAAGTTCCTGAAGGCCAAAATAAGCGCCTTCTGGTTGTTCGCACAGAAAAAGGGTGGGAAATTACCCCGTGAGCGAAATCCCCTGACCCACAGATGACCCTTTAGAATGAAACATTGGAAGGGAATTCCTCTGACTGCGCAGTTTCAGCGAAGGTCACTGCAGGGTAGCTGTGCATTTGGGGAACAGGATACGCAGCGGACTATTGCTTCCCCTCGCAGCGGGTGGGGCAACTCTGGCCACTCTGCGGGCGCGAATCACCCCAGATCTGGCCCAGTTCACCCAAACCTGCATGCCCCAGGTGCTGGGCTAGTTGGCACAGCGTGTCCCTTACCCGATAAGACGTCAAGGCCAGGCAACATCTCCTCTGAGTGTTGGATACCAAATGTACAGACGCCAGAGCTTGTTGTGCAAAGAATACAGTTTTGTTACAGCAGGAGTTCTGAAAGGATTCTAAAATAAACACCAAGGAGCGCCTTTATTGAAATTAGGGCATTGAGCTTCAGACTAAACTAATTATTAGTTCATATTCAGATTTCTTAGTTATCTCTATTAATATTTTTGCTTAATAAGAGGCTAATTAAATCAGAAGAAGATTAAATCCACCTTTTATGAGCAAAGCCAGGCGTTCGTTCTTTTTTTTTTTTTTTTTCCTAGAGCCGTGATTAGCAGCAGTTCATTACTTATCCTAGATTAAAAAATTAAGAGAATCACAAAACACTGGGATTGGGTGGCTGTGTGTGTATTTTGAGAAGGCAAATTGTCGTGGCTGTGTGTGTTTTCTGAGAGGGAAAATTGTCCGTACACAAATTTCTATTCATATATTTGAGAACCGTCTAGGAAGTAAAGCAAAGTTTGACAAAAATAACATCAGCTTTGCTTGGATGAGAAGCAAATCCCCTGAGAGCAGTGTCTACCCAGGAGTCTACCCAGTCGTCTACTCGGGAAGGTCGCGGTCCGCCACTTTTGGGAGAAATTGCCCGGGGGTGAGACCTCCCTTCCCTCCTTGGCCGCGCCCAACTCTCGCAAGGAATCTGGAGTCTCCCGGGCACCCTTGGCCACTCTCCAGCCCCCAGAAGCACGATGACCTTGAAGTTGTATTTGCTCTCCTCCAACCGCATTTCCTGAATGCGGGCCAATGCCGCACTGTCTGGTGGCGCCACGGTCAGCTTGAAATTTGTCCGATTGAGAGTAGGGTTCACCATATGGTACCCCTGCCGGGACTGAGGTATGTTATTTCAAACCAGGTTTAAACCGCCAACTGGAACCACTTTGCGCAGTTCTGTCGCATATTCTTCGACAGGTCCTACAGAACTCCCTAAAGAGAGAAACTGTGGGTCCACGTACATTCTAGGGGCTGGCGGGAGCGGAGGGGAGGTGGGGAACGAAGGTGCAGGGGCAAAGAGACAACTGGAGCTGAAACTTTCCTGGCATTCCGCCTAGGGTCCCAATTTCACTTAGTTTCCACTTCGACCGAGGAAACCTGTTGATGTACAGTTGCTTCAAGATTTTTTTTTTCTTTACTTCTTTTTAAAGAAAAGAGGTTGATCCTCAAGGATGTTTGGCGACAAAATGGATTGATTTTGAACAGAAATGGAAGAGAAACCTTCTGCCGCAGAGACGCATTTTTTTTTTTTTTTTTTTTTCAGCGCGACTGGAACAGCCAGCAGATGCGGGCCCACGAACGGGTCCCGGAGCTCGCCGTGAAAGATGTCCCTGGCTCCTGCGTAGTGTTCCCGCTACCAAGAATATTTGAGTAGGAGGGCCGACCGCCTGAGAAGAACTTGGCACCTTCCTATCACTGCTGAGCTCCCAGACGACAGTGTAGTATTATACGGATGGAAATGGAGGGGATAAAACGATGAAAAGAGTCGCTAAGAATTCGACTTCCGCCTGGATTACTTGGAACATCCTCCTGCCTACAGTTGCCCCTCCTAAGGATTGAGATATCTATTTGTGTAACACATGTTCCCCACCACCGGGGGTTTTATCTCTTCGAATATAGAAAAACATTTGAAAATGACGTTAAAAGAGAAAAAAA